ATGTGGGGATGAGCGACACCCTCGCTAGTTACATCATAGAGGAGGAATGCACTTTGGCGGCAGAAGGGCGAAAGGACTTCTTCCCTCCCCAGGCAAACCTAACCTTCCCAAAGAGGTTTGGCAAGCCATCATTTCTCCCAAAGCAAGACACGCTTCCTGCCCCTTTCCCATCCACTCCTGTGCAACAGCCATCGGCGACGCAGTCAAGCGGGGGTGGAGAAGGAGAGGGGAAAGGAAAAGGGGCGAAGGGGGAAGTGCAGAAAGAGGGGAGAAAGCCTTTCAAGGGGAAATGCTATTCGTGTGGCCAGCCAGGGCATGTCGCTTTCCATTGTCCAGAGCGCAAGGACAAGGTAGCGCAGAAGGGGCAAGGGAGTGGGGGTGCCAGTGGGGGTGGCGGCAATTGCAAGGAAGGCAGCAGTTTGGGGGGCAAAGGGCAGTCCACCTGCGCGATGGTGGAACCAATCCTAGCACAGCACTCTTCGATCTTACTGGAATCGGAGGCCGGGGAAGGCTTGCAGGCTGTTGCAGCTGCTGTGAAAGCCAACCAGAGTGTTGTGCTTTTGGACAGTGGCTGTTCCCACCACTTGATGGGAGATCGGGCGGCATTTGTGGAGTTGATTAGTGATACTTCCATCAGCCAGGTTTGCGGGTTCAACGGCACGATACAGCCATTACAAGGGAGGGGCATCATTGCTCTCTTGGGCGAGGGGGGCAAGCGTGTCATGGTACCAGACGTGCTGTATGTGCCGGGGGTACAGGCTAGTCTTCTCTCCTCAGGGCAGCTGCGGGATACCAGAGTGCAGCTGCTGGATACAGGGGAGCGGACACTCATGCGTGCACCTGATGGCTCCCTCCTGGGGCGTGCGGAATTCAAGGGGTGAGTGCCGTGTACTGACTTCAAGCCGTGGCCTGCTGAGCGTGCTGTGGGCGAGACAGTGGCACTTCAGGCGTTGGCCTCCGGCATGCGGTCGTCGGCTGACATATGGCATGCTCGCCTCGCATACGTTGGTGTTGACACCATTCGGTGTACTGCAGCTCATGGGTCAGAGATGGGCTTGGAGCTGGAGAAAGGGGGAAAGTCGGGACTGCCTTGCGTTTCTTGTGTGGGGGGGAAGATTACCATGGGTGGCAAGGAAGATGAGGTGCTTGGAGTTGTGCATGCAGACCTCTGCAGACCCTTTCAGGAGCGGGCCAAGGATGGGAGCCGTTACTTCCTGGTGGCGAAGGATCGGAAGACCCGGTATGTCTGGGTCTACACGCTGGCGCAGAATAGTGACGCCTTGGCTGCCTTAGAGAAGTGGCTACCCTTGGCGGAGCGGCAGTGTGGGAGGCAGGTGAAGGCGCTACACTCCGACCGTGGCGGCGAGTTCTTGGGCGCAGCATTAACTGCCTTCCTCGACCAGCGCGGCATCGAGCACGACCTCACCTGCCGGAATAGAATGGAATGGCGGAGCGGGAGATGCGGAGCATTGTGGAAGCTATACGGACGATGTTGCTACACATGGGTGTGCAGCACCACTGGTGGCATCTGGTAGTGGCGCAGGCGGTCTGGGTGCGCAACCGTGTGGAGCACGCTTCTCTGCCCGATGGCGTCACCCCGTATGAACTCGCCTTCAGTCGTAAACCAGATGTTAGTATGGTGCGCATCTGGGGCTGCATGCTGCAATACATGGTGCTGCAGTCTCAGCGTGGGGGAAAGCTCGCGCCTAAGGCTCGCTGGGGGTTGCACTTGGGTGTGTCTGCAGTCAACAAGGGATGGCATGTTTTGGACTTGGATTCCAATCGTCTGGTCACCACTTCGGAGGCCGTCTTTGATGAGACAATGTCTCTTGCTGGGTGGAAGGCATGGCATCAGCAGGAGCATGCTGGGTGACCACTGCCCTATGAGCCCCTCCCTTCCCTCTTCCCAGATGTGCTTTCGGAGGAGGTTGAGGAGGCTGAAGTGGTTGTCCCTCCTTCCCTGCCCTTTGTGCCCATCTCTGTGCTGACCCCTTCCCCTTCCTCCGTGTCTCCTCGCATCGCACCTCTTGCCCCACCTGCTCCTCCACCTCCACCCCCTGCATCAACTCCCTCTTCCTCTTCCCCTCCTGCTGTCCCACCTCCTCCTTACCCCTCCCTCCCTCCTGTGTCACCCTCCCCTTCACCTCCGCCGGCGCTGCCCGTCGGTGAGGGGGGTGTATTGGAGCCTCCGTCTCTTGTGCTCACCGACGGACCGCTTTCGATAGCGGCGCAGCAGTGGGAAATGGGAGTAAGGGGAGAGCTGACGGAGCTAGTGGGCTTGCAGCAGCAGCAGCAGGGCGAAGGAGATTCGCAACAGCTGGGCGAAGGAGACCAGCAGCCGCAGAATGAAGGAGAAGGGGGAGAGTGGAGTGGCAGTCGTATTGGTCACCGGACATGATACTATGGTGATCAACAGGGTCTCAAACTGCTTTTGAGAGTTTTCTCTGTGGGGGCTTGATGACCATCATACGCGCATAGATAGTACGAAGCGCCTCTGAAGGGTTTAAGTACTAATCACGGACATGGGATCCACAATCCGCGCTGACGTGCCATGTGGCATTTCATCTGAGCGCTGCTGACAGCCTGGTTTGTGTTGGAGTGGTTCCGCCACCCACAACGGACTACTCGTGACTTGGGGTGACGAGGAGAGAAATGCGGACTTGGGACGAGAAGGAACTAGGAAGCGGGTATTGCGTGAGCGTGAGGTGTACGGAAAGGGGAGAAGAGAGAGAAGGTTGAGAGAATATTGGTGGAAAGAAAGGAGATGGGGTAGTTGAGTGGAAGAAACAGATTGACGTGGGGCAAAGTTGGGTTTCGGACGGGGTATGTTCAACAAGCATTCGGACTTCGGACCGGCGGCGTGTTCAGCAAGAAATTCGCGGTTGCGTGTGCGACTCTGCTTGACACGAGGCGCGCGAGTTACTCGCAGTGCACATGGCAGTTACAAAGCGCGAAATTGCTTGTAATTCCACTATAAATCTGTTTGAACATTTGTGCTTGGTATCTCATTGTTTCTAGTGGAAATTGCTGTCATTTCGTATTGACGATTAGCAGCTAATTTGAGATCACTCTTGGAGGCAAGGCCCTTGAGGCTATTTGCAAGAGTATTTCCAAATACTTTTCGCTGCGCTGGAGGCGATAGTCGACTAGAACTGGTATCAGAGCTAGCGTCGGAGTGCTGGCAAAATTTCTCCGCGACTCTATTGAGTGCGCTAAGTGGAGCCGGGTGTAAGGGCGTTGTAGCATTCTAAAGAATAGGACGAAGCCTCCAGAATGACAGGCGATATTGGAGAGGCTAGTTCGGGCTCCTCTGTGAGCATTGGAGACCCCCAGCTTAAGGCTCTTTTAGGATTGCTAGCGCATGGATCGTTGGTAGCGAAACCAAGGATAGGGCTCAGTGAAGCCCAGCGTTTTAATGGCAGCAATTACAGTACGTGGCGCATAAAGTTCATTGGGAGAGTGAAGGAGGTAGGATTATGGAAATTCTACCGTCGAGGTGAGAAGGCCGAAGGAGCAGCAACTACAAGCAACCAAGAGGAGGATTCGGTATATCAGAAAAGGAGTGAGCAAGCATTCTTTCAGCTATGCCACTCTGTTTCTGATGGAATTGTTGTGGGCCTAGATAAGTTTTCAGGCGAGAAAAATCCGGCTCAAGTGGCGTGGGCATACATGGAGTCAGCCTACCTCGGCCAAATGGAGATGAACATTGCTGCAGTGAGGAGGAAGCTGCTGCTGCTGAGCATGGAGACAAAGGAAGCCGTCATCGAGTACATCAATCGAGCCAAGAGCTACAACGACGACTTGGCCGCAATGGGAGCTGAGGAGAACGAAAAGGCGATGATGGGATACATTGTCAACGGACTCTCGAAGGAGTGGGCAGCAGATTGACCTGCGTTGATTTGCAATCCACCTGCAAATATGACGAAACTTCTAGAGATGCTGCAAGCCTTAGCGATATCCAAGGAGGATGTGACACGACGGGAGAAAGCATGGGGCTGCGGGTGTGGAGCAGGAGAAGCCTGCAATGGTGAATGCGGTATCTGCAGGGAGAGGCATGGGTGCATGCTTCCACTGCGGCAAGATGGGCCCTAAGGCATTTGACTGCTACGATAACCCGAGGAGCCGCAACTACAAGGGGAAAGGTGCTGCTGGTATGGGATGGAGTGGAGTGCAGCAGAGTGGGAAAGGGGTTAGCAGAGGAGATAGAGGAGATAGTAGGCAGCAGAGGGGAAAGTTCTTTGGAGCTTGCCACCACTGCAAGAAGATAGGGCATAGAGCGTCCGATTGCTACTCAAACCCCAATGGCCGGAGTTATAGGGGAACACAACAGCAAGGTTCGGCACCGGCAAAGGCACATGCAACTGAAGCAAAAAAGGGGGAAGCCGATGTTATTTTGGGTGGTGCACATAAGGCGAATGTTGCGCGTACATCAGGAGTGTGCCTGATGGCAAAAGGGAGTGGAGACGCTGCATGGTGTATGGACAGTGGGTGCACTCAGCACATGACCAATCACAGTGAGTGGCTGAATGATTTGAGGGCGTCAAGTGTGCCGTATGTGCTTGTGGGAGATGACCGGAAATTGCTTGTGAAAAGAGAGGGAGATTTGATTTTGCAAGGGCAGTATGGGGAGTTGAAACTGGAGAATGTGCTGCTGGTTGATGGTCTGTCATTGAACTTGATCAGTCAGTCACAGATGGACAACACTGGAAGCAAGACATTCAGTAACAAGTGTTAGGATTAAGGACGGAGTCTAGGTGAACTTAGGAGCTAGAATTACTCAAAAATATAAATCCGAAATTCTGGACAGAAAAGTCGTCTTCACAAGAAACAGAGTCGACAAAAAACCAGCCGTTGGAATGTCGCAAAAATCGGATATGTTATAGCTTCTAATCTTAGCTACCGTTCTCAATTTGAATCACGTCGATTCATGGAGTATTTGCGACGCTATGTCTTTCGACGCACTGGAGGGTAAGTTGCGAATTGAAACAATGGATGGGAGGCAGACAGAATGTGATAGCATATGATGACATCACACAACAATCTCCCCCTCTGGCTGCCAACCATCATCCACCATACCAATATCTCAAGCATGCATACTCAATGCACACTCATCCCAGCAAGCTTCATGCCCTTCCAATGACCCGCCTCCGCCAGACGCTTAGTGAAAATATCTGCTGCCTGCTGATGGGTCTTCACTATCTCCAGCCGCACCTCCTTATCATGGAGTCTCCTCACCCAATGCCACTTAGGCCTTATGTTTTTTGTCAGCCCATGCAGACAAGCATTCTTGGCCAGCTTCACTGCAGACTCATTGTCACAGAAGATCACCGTCGGCTCCTTCTGACCAACTCCCAACTCCTCCAACAAGCGTCTTAGCCACACCACTTCCTTGGCCCCATGGTGTAAGGCCATGTACTCAGTCTCACATGAAGACAATCCCACCTCATTCTGCTTCTTGCTGCGCCAGCTCACAGCACCACCTCCCAGCAAGCACACATAACCCCTAATGCTGGTGCCATCCGCTTTCACTGAGTTGAAGCTAGCGTCAGTATAGCAACTCAAGAGCATCTCTCCACTCTTCACATCTGCAGCACCTCTCTGCAACCGCTGCCTCACTCCACTGTACTCCAATCCCATTGATGCCGTAGCGCTCACATAGCGGACCAACCTCTTGGCCGCTTCCAGCTGCTCATGACTAGGGCGTGAGACCACACTAGCCAACCGTGATGTAGCAAATGCAATGTCAGGCCGTGTATGATTTGCAGCATAATTCAGCGACCCAACCATCGAATGAAACAACTTCCTGTCACTCTCACCCACTACCTCTTCATCAGCACATGGCTCCACAGTCAACCCCGAAGGTAGTGGTGTTGTTGGCTTTCCCCCATCTTGCAGCCCATACTTCTCAGCCAGCCCCTCACAGTACTTCCTCTGGTGCAGCCTCAGCACACCCTTTTCCACATCTCTCTCCACATACATCCCCAGGTAGTACTTCACCTCACCCATCTTGGAACACTTGAACTGCATCTCCAGCATCTGCTCTGCACTGTCCAGCAAAGCGGTTGATGCAGAAAAGAGAAGGATATCATCCACATACACCAAGAGCATGAGGATTTCATCCTTCTCCTGCAGCAGGAACAGGCTGGGGTCACACTCCCTCTTCTTGAAAACCCCAGCCAACAGCGCCTCCTCCAACTTGTGATACCATGCACGAGGCGCCTGCTTAAGGCCATAGATGGCCTTCTTCAGTCTGCAGACCCTGCCGCTCCCATCATCCAGCCCCTCTGGCTGCTTCATGTAAACCTCCTCCAGGATGATCCCATTCAGAAAGGCAATCACAATGTCCATCTGCCGTATCTTCCATCCCAGGAGTGCAGCTATCGCCAATAGCATCCTTAGTGTTGTTGCTTTCCCCACAGGAGCAAACACCTTATCATAGTCCTTCCCCTTGGTCTGCTGAAACCCCCGTGCCACAAGCCTAGACTTGTAGCGGGTCAGCTCCCCTTCAGGTCCATACTTGTGCTTGTAGATCATCTTGGAAGTGATTGCCTTCTTCCCAGGAGGCAAGTCACACAGGTCCCATGTCTCGTTCTCAATCAGGGACCCGAACTCCTCATCCTCACTCGCCTTCCACTTCTCCCCATTTGGTCCATTCAAGGCCTCCTCTCGAGTCTTGGGCTCAGGGATTGGTGCCCAGTAGCAGTGAGCGATCTCATCTTCCTCAATCTGCTCAACCACACTCCCAGCCTGCACCACATTCGGCTTGCCTCTTCCCCCATAGGTCAGCCTCACCGGAGGGCGCACATCCCTCCTAGGTCGCTCAGACGGGTGTGGAACTCGAGGTGGAGACTCATGCTGCTGCTGCTGCTGCTACTGCTCCACTTCAGCTACTCCCCCTTCCTTAGCCACCCCAGACATCTCCTCCTCAGACACTACAACCTCCACCTGTCTTGAAGGCCGCTGCACCTCATCTGCCTCCACAATGAGCGGTGTAGATGGAAGCTTCTGTTGCTGCTGCTTCTATTCCTTGTAGTACAGGGACTCAAGAAACTTCACATCCCTTGACACTGTCAGCTTCTGGGTGGTCAAGTCCCATAGCAACCACCCCTTGTGATCCTTTGCAATCCCCAAGTGCACACCCCATCTTCCAGAAGCCTCCAACTTCCCCCTTTTCTCCTTGGGCACATGAAACACCACCATGCACCCAAATGCCCTCAGCATGTTCACAGCTGGAGCACTCCCATACCACTTGGTATATGGGATCCACTCCTTATCCCCAACTGTAGCCAGCACCCTGTTCTTCACAAGGGCGACCTGCCTCAGTGCAGACACCCAAAACGGATCAGGCAGCCCTGCACGCCCAAGGAGAGTGCGTGCCCCCCCCTGCAGGGTCCTGTTGAACCTCTCAGCCACGCCATTCTGCTGTGGGTTGTAGGGCATTGTCAGTTGATGTTGGATCCCCTTCCTCTTCAACTCCCCCTCAAAATCAGCTCCAATGAACTCCCCACCATTATCACTACGGATCACCTTCACCTTGTGTCCGCATTCCCTCTGAGCTCTAGGCATCCACTCCTTAAGGACAGCGGCTGCCACCTCCCCCTTGCTCTTCGAAGGGTAAACCCACACTGCTCGAGTGTGGTCATCCACAATTGTCAAGAAATAGCGGCTGCCTGAGAGGGAAGGGGCTCTTGTGGGCCCCACCACATCCATGTACACAAGTGCAAGTGGGGTCTTGGCTGGTCCTGTAATGCTGTTGAAGGGGAACTTGGAGAACTTGGTCTCCAAGCATGTAGGGCAGCTCCAGTCTCCTTCACTCCCCCTTCACCTCCAAGCCCTTCAGGCTCCCATCCTTCACCAACTTCTGCAGCATAGGGAAGTTCACATGACACAGCCTCTCATGCCATGTCTCCCAATCGGCCTCACCACTCCTTGATGAAGCCTTAGCCTATGCCGCACTCGCATCCACACCAGCAAGCACCTCACCATGTGTCTGCTGATGCTGCACTTTCTTGACTGCTTCCAGGACCCCATCAGTTGGTGCAGTTGCATCTCCTCCTGCTGTTGCCTTTGTCGCTGCTGCCGTTGCTGCTGTTGGAGTCTTCCCATTCCAAGGGATGATGGGCAGCTGCCATAGGTCCTTGATGCAGCTGGTCTCCTCCTCCAAACTCCACAGCACCTTCTTCCCAAGCTTAGCACGGCAGCTGGTTGGTCCAAAGGTCACTTTGGCCTTGCTCTTCTGCAGCCGCCGCACAGAGAGAAGGTTAGCAGACAGACCTTCAACCAGCAGAACATTCCCAAGCCCCACAAGTTCCCCATTAGCTCCCTTAACCTTGGCATTCCCAACACCAATAACAGGGAGCAAAGCACCTGACGCTGCTGCCACATACTTAATCTTCCCAGGGAGTTTTACCTCATCAAGCAAATCTGCCCGTGGGGTCATGTGACTGGTGCAACCTGAATCAATCACCCAGTGCGTGAGAGGGTGCATCACAACCTTTCCTACAGATCCCACATCACCCTCATGCCCATGCACATCCTCAACCATGAGAAACATCCCAGGATAGGTATTACCTTGTGCACCTGAGCCTTGCACAGCGCCACCTTGTGCGCGTTCACCACTTGGCGGCTTCATGCCTGGAGGTGCCCATCCCTCCGGCCTGCTGAAGCACTTGAACCAAGGATGCCCGACCTTCTTGTAGTACCAGCAGGTGCCCTCCATTCTGGTACTCCCCCTGCCACTAGAGCTCCCATGCCCCTCATTATAGTCACCTCGGCCTCTACCTCTACCAAAGCTCCTCCCACGGCCTCGGCCTCTCCAACCCCCTCTTCCTCTGCCGCGCCCTGCAGCTCCATACCCCTCAGTAGTCTTAGTGGAAGCACCACCTCCCACATGGCGTCTGCGAAAGTCCTCCTGCAGAATCTGCTGCCTTAGCCACTCAGGTGTCTATTGATCTTGCTGAGATTTGAGGGTGGGGATGAGGTTGTCCTAAGAGTTGTCCAACACCGAGATGATCTTGGTGCACTGCTGCAGGTGAGATACACTGCTGCCCGCTGCTGCCATCCTTGCATAGGTGTCCTTGATCTTGTCAAGGACCGGCTTCACATCGTCCCCTGGTCGCATGGAGATGGCAGCAAGTTCCTTCTCGAGCACGATCACCATTGGGAGAGTGTTAGGCTGAATCACATCGCGTAGTAGTTTCCACGCCCTTGGACCCGAATCATCCGCTTCCACAAGATCCTTGATGTGCTCGAACATCTCCTTGTCGACCGATTGAAGGATGAGGTCGAAAAGCACCGCGCTTTTCTCAATCCACCGTTCACGTGCTTTGCCTTCTTCTGGCATCTTCTCCTCCACAACAGCAATCTTTAGTAGCTTGTAGCATTTGAAGGCACTCCTCATCCGCCCGCTCCATTCCTCATAGTTGGAGCCATCCAAAGCTTCAACTTTTGATCGCGACGGCTCACTTGTCTTCTCAGGTACAGCTCCTCTTCCATTAGCATCTCCTCCTCTCTCATTCATCTTCTCCTTGAGAAATGAAGAATTTCAGCTCCCCTTTGCTGTCCACACTCAGCTCCCTCGATACTTTCACAAGTGTCGGCGTCCACGAAATTTCGACTGAGTTTCCCCTTAGCAGAAGACACATCCAACCTTTAGAGCACCACTTAGGCACACCCACATGCCATGGTGGGTCTAGAAGGATCTTCAAACTTCTGTAGACTTCTCTTAATATCCTTAATATAGCTCTGATACCACTTGTTAGGATTAAGGACGGAGTCTAGGTGAACTTAGGAACTAGAATTACTCAAAAATATAAATCCGAAATTCTGGACAGAAAAGTCGTCTTCACAAGAAACGACATCGACAAAACAATAGCCGTTGGAATGTCGCGAAAATCGAATATGTTATAGCTTGTAATCTTAGCTACTGTTCTTAATTTGAATCACGTCGATTGATGGAGTATTTGCGACGCTATGTCTTTCGACGCACTGGGGGGTAAGCTGTAGGAGGAGAACTTAACTCAATCTCAAAAGTTGAATCGAAGTTCAAGAATCTCACAAGGAATTAGAGGAGAAAGAGAAAGGTTGGGATAGAAGAGAGTGATGAGAGGGAATGTCCTAAGAGATGTCCCCAACCAATGAAATCCCATAAGCACAAAGATTACCCCCCTATAGGAACCCCAACTTTTACCTTTGCCCCTTCCCAACCAATCCATCCAAGTTGGCCACCCTTGCCAACCTAGCTTGGTTGTTCCCAACCAATTTGCAGCTGTTACAGTAGAGTGACGAATTTCCCCAACCCCAAAGGTCCCAACTCCATATAGAGTCACCCCACAACTTCACTTTGTAACCGCCGCAATTGTAACGCAAGCTCATGAACTTTGAATCTTCATAGCTTTCGCGCTCTTGCTCCGATTGAAGCGATTCTTGTTGCGTCTGAAATATCTTCTCAAAATCTATCATCACAAATACCTGCTCAGACAGAATAACACAAAACACATTCCCAAACTCCAGAACACACACCACACAAATTTTTTCACACACAGTCAAACCATACATGCGAATTGAAACAAGGGATGGGAGGCAGACAGAATGTGATAGCATATGATGACATCACAGAACAACAAAGGCATCGTGTGGATGTTTGACCATGCATGGAATGTGGTTGCTAAGGGCATGCTGAAGAATGGGTTGCATGAGATGCTGTTGAATGAGAAGAGCATGACAACTGAGAAGGTTACCTACCAGCAACCGATGGAGGAAGGGGTGCTGGCAAGGGAGGAGCTGCGGGCGAGCTTGAAAAGTGTACATGTAGAGGAGCTGCGGAAGGAAGCGGTATCGATGGTGGCAGCATTGGCAAAGGCAGACATGGAGACCCTGCATAGGAGGTTGGGACATGCGGGAATGGAACGGATTAAGGAATTAGGGCAGAAAGAGATGGCAATTGGAGTGGAGCTGAAGGATGGGGATGGGAGCAAGGGGAAGTGTGACAAGCGTGTGGAGGGCAAAATCACCAAATCCCCCCATCCCAAGCATCAGGTACAGGAGCCATATGGAGCGCTGGAGATAGTAGCAACTGATGTGTGTGGGCCACTGAGGGTGGCATCCAGGCCCGGGAGTAGATACTTCGTCACCTTTACAGACCTAGGGACTAGGCACACATGGGTGACAGAGATTAAGGATAAGACATAGGTCTTCTCTAGTTTTCTGGACTGGATGGTGAAAGCAGAAATGCAGAGTGGGAAGTAGCTGAAGGTGCTGAGAACTGACAATGGTGGGGAGTTTGTCAATGAGGAGTTCAACAGCTACTTGCGTTCCAAGGGGATTCTGAGGCAGTTGATAGTGCCTTACACTCCACAGCACAACAGTATAGTGGAGAGGGTGAATAGGTCACTGCTGGACTGTGTAAGGACATTGCTGGCAGATAGTGGATTACAATTGAAGTTCTGGGGAGATGCCTTGGGGATGGCTTGTTGGGTCAAGAACAGGCTACCTACTAAGGGCTTGGAAGCAGATATGACCCCACATGAAGCATTCTATGGGAGGAAGCCGAATATGGGGTTGGCTCGCGTGTGGGGCTGCATGGTGCAGTACAGGGAGCTAGCTGGACCAGCCCATAAGCTACTACCTAGAAGTAAGTGGGGGCTGAACCTTGGGATGTGCATGGTGAGTAAGGGATGGGTGATCAAGGATGTGGAGATGGGAAAGGTGGTGGTGACCAGAGATGTGATATTCTATGAGAATGTCACCTACTTGAAGTGGAAAGGGGTGAGTTCGGAGATTGCAACGGCATGGGAAGCAGCTAACCTAGAGAAGGTGGAAGGGCTGCTGGAGGAGACATCGATTGAAGGGATTGGAGATGAAGTAGAGGAGGTTGGAGAAGAAGCAGCACATACTTGGGTGTGGGAGCTTCCAAAGAAAATGGTTGCACAGGGGAGAAAGGAGATGGAGCAGCAGGAGATAGAGCCAGATGAACAACTGAGGTGGAGATGGCACCAAGGGAGAGTGAGCAAGGATCAACTGCACGAGATGATCACAATCCATGGAAGCTGCTAGATAGTGCAGACAGCCGTGAATTAGAGAAGGAGATTGAGGAACTACTGGAGGATGGGGCAACAGCGATAGCGGTACTAGGATAGGACGAGCAAGAGGCAGCTGAGAAGGAGGGTAGTGAGGTGGTGTCACCTGCTGAGGAGTTGGGGCGAGGGAAAAGGGTGAAGAAGGCAAATCCTAAGTATACACAACTACTCATAACTCCTTGGAAGAATGTGCTTACCCACCTCCTCCTCGCAATATCAGCAACTGCACTTGTGACACGAGCAAGGAAGGAGGCATATGGGTTGCATCATGAACCAGTGACAGTGGAGGAGGCATTGACAGGACCACAAAAGGAGCAGTGGAGAGCTGCAATTTAGGAGGAGTTGGATACATTAGCAGAGAGGGGCACTTGGGAGCTAGTGCCTATGCCAGACGGAAGGAATGCAGTCGTGGTGAAATGGGTCTTCAAGATTAAGACAGGAGACATGGGACAGCTGGAACAGTTTAAGGCTAGGCTAGTGGCGAAGGGCTACACACAGGTAGAGGGGATAGACTACACCGACACATATGCTCATGTAAGCAAAGTGACGACTACACGGGCGTTCCTTAAGGTGATAGCAGCAAGGGATTACTTTCTAGTGCAGCTGGACATCAAGAACGCGTTTCTGCATGGGGTGGTTAAAGAGGAGTTGTATATGGAGCAGCCACCAGGGTTTGAGGACGGCACAAACAGGAAGTGCAAACTTATTAAGGCACTCTACGGACTGAAGCAGAGTCCCAGGGAGTGGTACAAGGCGATGGATGAGAGGCTGCAAAAAGGGGGTTTTCAGAAGAGTGAGTATGAAAGGGCATTCTACTGGAGGGGAGCTAGAAAGGAGAAGGTGTACCTACTGCTCTACGTGGATGATATCCTAGTGGCAGGGGCACTTCCAGGGGAGGTAGAGAAGGTGTGTGAGCACCTGGTTGAAGTGTTCCAGGTGAAGCAGATTCCGAGGACGACGCTGTTTCTGGGGATGAATCCGGAGAGGAACAGGGAAGAGAGAAAGCTGTTCTTGTATCAGCAGAAGTACTGCAAGAGGGTGGAGCAGAAGTTTGGTCATGGCTGTGCGAAGGCCATTACTACGCCACTGAGTGGAATGGCAGAAAGTGATAATGAGAGTGAAAGGGATGTGCTGAAGTGGGGTGGTCAAGAGCGGGCGCTGCAGATGTACCAGTCTATGGTGGGACAAGTTATGTATCCAGTCTCATGCACCAAGATTGACATGGCCTATGCAGCAAGCTACTTGGGGCAGCACGCGCAGCAGGGGAGGAAATGGAGGGAGATGAGGCGAACATTAAATTACCTACTACAGCACCAGGATGAGGGTTTATTCTTTGAAGGAGGAGAAGAGACATTGGAGCTGGTGGGGTATGCTGATGCCTCACATGCATCACTCAAGGAAACCAGGAGAGGGGCATATGGATATGTGTTCCTAATCAGAGGGACCGCTATTACGTGGCAAGCTAAGAAGTTGGCAGATATAGCACTCTCAAGTGCTGAAGCGGAGTACATGGCATTGTTCTTTGCATGCCAGGAGGGAGTGTGGTTGAGGAGGTTGTTGATGGAGTTGGAGATAGACGTGAAGGGGCCTACAGTGGTAAGGACAGACAGTAAGTAAGCTATGGACTTGGTGAAAAACGACAACTGGCATGGGAGGACTAAGCACATGGATGTGAAATATCACTGGGTGAGGGAACTGTTAGAGAAGGAGCAGTTCAAGTTCGAGTTTCTACCCACTGAGGAGCAGGCAGCTGATTTCTTGACCAAGGTACTGCCACGGACCAACTTTGAGTACTGTAAGGAAAAGGTCGTGTTGAGACTAGAAAGAATTATTATAACAAAGGAGAACAGGGGAGATATAGTGTTTGGGTTGTACCCACTAAGAACATACCCTATGTAGCCTATAAATTCTACAAAACAATATATGTATAATTTGACACATCCCCTAGGCTAGATAAGGGGTAGTGCTGACCAAGAAACATGCAGCTTAGGGTGGCACTACTAGTCCAACCTCTGAGGCAGGGGCCCGAAGACCAGTCAGAAAGGGTACAAGCAAGACAGAGCAAACCAGGGCGGCACTACTAGTCCAACCACTGGAAGAAAAGCCACAAGGCCAGTCTGAAAGGCATAAATATAAAGGAGTACACAATCAAGGGCCTAGAAAGTGAGAGTCAACAGGGACTAGACCTAACTGCAAGAAGCGCCGCTGATGATCTCTAGGCGGAAGCGCCTTAGTAAAGATATCAGCTGTGTTGGCACCGGAGGCCAAGTGTACTACGCGGGCCTGGCAACGCTGCTGAAGCTCGCGCAAGAGGAAGTACCGCAGCTGGATGTGCTTCACTCTGCCCTCAAGCTGAGGCTCCTGACACAGGAGGATCATGGCCTTGTTGTCAGCGTACAGAACCTGGGCAGAGCTAGGCCGCTCACCTGCATCGGCAACCAAGAAGGTCAGCCAGCGGAGCTCCTGTGCCGCCATGGAATCGGCGTAGATCTCAGACTCGCATCTAGACTGAGCAACAGACGAGGAGCGAGTGGACCTCCATGAGATGGCACGAGAACCAAGGCTCTGGGAGGACCTGAGGGTCTCAGCATCGTATGCCCAAGAAGCATCTGTGTGCCCAGTAAGGACCACTGGCCTGCGTCCTCCCAGCACTAGCCCCATGCCCGATGTACTTGCAAGATAACGCAAAACCCTCTTAGCGGCCGACCAGTGCTGTGGTCGGTGTCTTCCTGTGGCCACAAAGCGGGCAAGGATGCTAAGAGGGTATGCGAGATGTGGACGAGTGCAAGTCATCAGGTACATGAGGCAACCCACCAGCTCTACGTAAGGACCACTGGGCTCTGCTGACTCCTCGGGAACTGGAGCTGAGAGCCTGTGGTCTACCGGCAGAGGTGTGGGCTATGCGGAGGAGGATTGAAGACCGAACCTCTGAAGGACCTGGCGCACCAAGTGTGACTGTGTAAGAGTGATGGTGCGCGCTGCTCTGTCCCTGGAGATTTGCAGGCCAAGGTAGCGGCGCAGCTCTCTCAGGTGTGTCTCCTCAGCAGCTCAGCCTTCACGGAGGCCAGCGCGTCTGTGTCTGCAGTAGCAAAGACCAGGTCGTCTACGTAGACAAGGATGTAGAACAGAGTCTGGCCAGCACAAACGGAGAGCGAAGGGTCAGTAGAGGACGGAAAGAACTGCAGGTCAGCTAGCGTAGCACGCAGCGTGTCATGCCACTCACGGGGCACCTGTCGCAGGGCGTAGACCGGGCGCTCGAGTAGCCACTGGGTCCCAGGAGGGAAAGTACCAGTGAAGCCCAGAGGACGGCGCACGTAGACCTGCTCGTGTAG